GTGGGAAATGTTTGGACCACTAGATGAAGATTCCATGGCCTAGATTAGCCCTCTCCTAGTTCGGTTATTAGAATACTCCCTCCTCCTCCTCCTTTAAACTAGGCCCCAGCTAATAGGATCAAGTTGGTGGCTTCGAAGGTCATTCAGCCAATGTTTAAAATGACCTCTTTTGCCGAGAGCTAGGAAACGAGGGAGGTGTTTTATGCAAAACCTTTCAGGAGCTATACACCAAGAAATAGATGGGAATGGTTTTCAAAATCGGTTTTGATTAAACTCAGATCATGCAAATTTATATAAGTCTACTTCAGAGGGCTAGTTGGACGCCATGCGTCAATGGCATAATAGATCACATGTGCGAAGGTAAATTGTTAGAAACGTGAAAAGACACCGTATATTAGCATTTGCATTGCCTTTGTAAGTAGCAATAACACATTGATGGACACCCTGGACCTTGTTCCTGACCATCTTGATGATCTTGTTAATTCTTGAAATGTATGAGCAGTCCAAGTAGAGCCGGAGCTATATTAGAAAATACTAGGTCGTCGTGCCCCACCAAACCAAATAGCCAAACATTGAAAAGTGAAGGCAAGGCATGGCCTTGATGAGAACCAAAATGATGCATACTTTTCCTTTAGCACCAGTTAAGCATTGGCAGCGTAGCGCGCAGCAGCTGCTCCGACTTGGTCCGAGTCTTTGAGCGTCTCAGGACCGGCGCCTCACACCGTCCAGCACCCAACGACACGGTGGCGACTTTGTTGTGCCAAGTAAAAGTAAACGGATGATGTACTGCACTACTACGACCCAACGCGCGCGTCCGACCCGCAGTCTACTCCTCGATCGTGTGAGAGCATCTCCACTCGCTCCCAACAGACCCTTTAAGGCTCTTTTTTTTTATCGTTGATGCTAAAAAAAAGATCCAATCACGCCTCAGAAATCCATTTTTTGTCAGTTAGAGTCGAATTTGACGTCGGTGGACTTAAACTGAACCCGACACGCTGGGGCCGTCCGGGGGTGTCAGAGCAACTCCAACGGGCCGACCCAAACGGACGGCGATTTTGTCCGTTTTTTGTCCGTTTGGGTCGGCCAGACGGACACGGATATCCACTTCCGCATTTGGGTCGGCGCGTGCGCCCAACGCTGGCATGAACCCATTTTGACGGCAAAAAATATGAACACATGCATATTAAAAATGAGAAACATCATTAATTAAACATTAAAGCCGGCCACGAAGGCCGGCGAGAGTCCACGCGTCCACATTTGCATTAAAAAAATAAAAACAACCTAAACTACGAGGCGGCGCGTTGCCATAGGCGTTATCGTCGTCGTCCTCGGGGTCCGTGAGGTCGATGAGCGTCGGCGCCGGCCCGGCCCAGG